GTCCATGCCCGTTCAAACATTTGAACAGCGGAATGCCGGGAAGTAAAGAATAGATTTTTTGTTCCATAACTTCGTTCGTTGTTTCTGAGAAAAACGGTAAACAAATGGTGTCCAGGTGGTTCTTTGCCCTTTGGGTGAACTGCGTTGATGTCTTGGTGCTAGACGACCTCTTCTGGAGCGTCTTCTGAGCATTGACGGTGCTCCAACCGAAAACTCTTTCGCACTCGCGTGTTGTCGAAACACCCATTTTCGGGATCGCCTATGAGCTGCAAAGAGCCTTGGCAGGTTTTAGGTACAGTTTTGACTATGAACCAGGCTCAGTACTGACGAGATAAATCGTTTGAAAGTGTGAGAGTGCTTAAATATTTTGAAACGAACCTTAGAACACACATGACGTCCCCCTCTACCAAGTGCGAACAGCCTCTTCGGAGGGTGGATGAGCGGGTGGAGGTTCATGCCCTTGGGGGTGAGAAATCCACCCTAAAGGCGGATGGGTCAACGGCATAGGATGCGGAAGGCAAGGGGAATCCACCGCATTAAAGATCTTCGGGATTTCCCAAGTATCAGCAGCTCAAGCTCCAATCAATCCTAGGATTGATTACAAAAGAATGAGAAGAGATTAAACTTGCAGCCTAAATAGTTCCAGTGTCCAAGGGCCAACTTCGTGTTATCTCCTGTTTGTGTACGTACGAGACTTCGTACCTTGCTCGAGGAGAATGCGTGGGCGTGAGAAAGAGTAACTTGGAAGACATCGACGTGGATGGAAATCACCCATGAAGACATCGTGTGTGGAGTGGATTAAGCTGCCTCAGATTCCTTGACGCACGGAATTTGTTGACCGATTGATCGACTTCCCAACTGAAGAAGTTGGGCGGCATTGGGCCTGATGTACGTACGCCCTAGTTCGTGTGGCGAGTGACAGGCGACGTCAAAAAGCTGCGACGAGGACGTCCCCCGAAGGTTCTGCTGAGTGGATATGTGAGGTTTTCTACACTACGTAGATTGACACTTCAACCGTGAAAATGGTGGCAGCATGTTCCTTCGAAACGTTGATATTAATCTGAGGGACCATGCAGTGTAACCAGCGAGTTTTTAGAATCCAAATGAAGGGTCAGAGTTTTCCCACCTCCTCGGGTCCTCCAAGTGTACCTTTTTTTACCCCAAGAGTTTCACCATCAAAATTATGTGTCATTCCTTGTCTCCCCGTCGTGGCCTGCGAGGTTTCAATACCCCCAATACCTTGTCCGGGGCATTTTGATTTCAGACGCCTGTCATTTATAAGCCGACCTCAGCAGGAGACCGCGTTTCGTACTCGTCCAAAACAAACGGAGGCGTTATCATTGCCGTGTTGTGTTTCCGTCCGTCCGTCCGTCCGTCGTGGAGAAGTGCAGACAGAGCGAAACGCCATTGCACTCGGGTTGTAAAACTCCGGACGGAATTCCGTGCAGTCAGCAGACTGACTCACGCTGGATTGTAAATACCGGAACAGAAAAACAGCTCCATGTCCCATCTCGTCTTTTGGATAATTGCGGGTGGTTTAATCTACGCAGACTTCGTGCTTACGCAA